CCCCTACCTCTGTTGTAGAGTGGCCGAGCCCTGTATCATGGTCCTCGGGTACAGGGAGCATCTGTTTCCTGTACCCGGCCGGACTAAAAGGAAAAGTGTGTACTTTTTTGGAAGCGTGCAGTGTGATAAACTCACTCATAAAAGACTATGATCCACTAAGCCCCTACCTCCCTGTATAGTACCCTGACCCTCACTGAGAGTCGGAGTGTTCAGACGCTATTAGTGGGAAAAACCTAAAACTGCTTTGGAACTCCGGCCCAGCCACTTTCTTTGGGATTTCCCAGGCATCATGGACCTTCACTTTCCCCACTTTCCCTGCAATGAGCGCTTTTTGGAAGGAAAAGCTTATGTCCATAGTAGTGAACAATCGCTCCCTGAAACCATCAGGGAGCTCCTATTTCCCCCAGAGATATTGTGCCTGGTAAATTACCAAGGATTAGCGAAAGTATGGCGTTTAGACAATTCTGTATGGGTCCGAGCACTATTTTCCAAGAAAATGATCTGTGACGTTGAGATATCTTGATGTTTAAAGGATGTTTTGGGGGTATTTCTATGTTGTACTCTCTGTGTATGGGAGATAATTAGTTTACCGGTTATCAACTCAATTATCTCCCAGACACAGAGATGTCTTGGCAGGCTTAAGTGTTTATGAATAGAGAGCCTATGCTGGGGTCTGTGTATAAATGTGTGTGCTTTTGGATGATCCACCCATCATCAAATCTTGACTGATGTTTGGGTATGCTGGAGTTATAATCACAGATTCACTATGAGACCTGGGAGAATCTACAACGGAGGTGCCACTTCGGGTACAGGTGCTCCGTTACATGCAGGTACAGGGAGCTGGTCATCTTTGGCTGTACAAAACTGAGATTTGGTGTATGCTCTAGGTAAGGAGGAGCATCAGAGTTTTTCAATAAATGAAAACATTTTACAGATTTTTGGCATTCCTAAATCCATGAACCCATTCTAATGTAAATGCACTGAGTGGGATGAAAAACATGGGTTAGTGGTCTGTGGGTCATACATTTAACCTGGGCCCCCCAGATATTATAATTTGTAAAACAGCAAATAAACAGTTTTATGAAATGGAGTATAATTGAAGTTCTTATCTCTAGCTAAATGTTCACAGTAGGTATGAGAGTTTGGGCACCTTCTCATACCTGCTGTTGCATGTCATTCTAAAAGAGATACCGGGAACTACAACGTTTCTTTTTAGTTATTATTTTAATTTTTTATTGCTTGCTTTTTACCGCACAGTTATTCAGGTTAATATATAAATGACTTGAAAAACAAACCCCACTTAGTTTTAGAATTTAGTTATTATTCTTTATAAGATTAAGTGCAAGAATATATTAAAGCAGACAAATTTAAATAAACTAAATTTAATTTTTTTTATATTTCTTATATATAACTCTAATTACAAAAACACATAATTAAATGCATGCATGTTTTCATTTAAGGGGATATCTACTAAACAGTGATTTATATTTATTTTATATTTGGAAATGGATGGTCCCTTTGTTTGCTATTGCAATTATTTAACTAGTTCTAAAATGATGCTAATAAAGATTTTGCTGAATAAATGCTGATGATGATAATGATTAATGAATGTCCAATGCTTGCATCAAAAATGATGATGGATTACTTAAAACAGATGGTAGATAAATGAACGGGTGAGATGAAACCATCTGGAATACAGGTAATATCTTCCCTTCATTATTGCAGCATGGTGGCTACATGATTCAGTTCCCTACCATGGACACAGTGGAAGTAAAATTTATCAGTAACCAAATTATAGGTAAAACTGACTGTGATGGACAATTTTACCATATTTGGAAGTTTGGTCTCCATTGGATGAATATAAAAATTGTTGCTTTACCTGTCACTCTACTTTGGAAAGTGTCAGTACTTCCTTGAATCGATTACCCCCAACTCTGACTTCTTCTATTTTTGGTTCCATTACTTCACTTTGTTGAGTTGTTGTCCCCATAATTCCTGGAATATATTAATTGTAAGATGTGGAGCCAACAATATAAGTTTTGTTGTTGTCTGACAATAAAGAATAAAAATAAAAATACAAAAGGTCATAAGACCATGAAAATATTAGGATCAGTGTTAGCGAGATGAAAAATATTCATGCTCTGTTTAGAACCTAGAAGGTCATCTGTAAGTTTGATATACATAAAATCCTTACAGAATTTATTCACTAAAAAGTAAATTTCAAAATTTTGACTAAAACAACAAAGCTGTTACTACAGCGGAGTTGACGAATGTTTCAAAATTAGCTATTTTGACCAACATTTTGCAATTTCGCTTTTAGTTCACTACAATTCAGTGCTTGATGAAAAAATTATTTACAGTTGAATTTGCTATTAAAAAAACGGTTGTTCTGATTATGTATAGTATTCCTGTTGATTGTGTGCCATTTGTTTAAGAGGCTATTTTTGAACTAACGTTATGTTTATTGTTGATAATAGAATATGTGAAGCGTGCTCCCAGCCGTTACTCATGTTGTGTTCTTACAAACACATGGGTCTATGACCTATAAGTCCACCGTACAACAGCTGATTAGGTTTTTCTTGAAAACACTTTCTATTGCATTTGCAGAAATGCTTTGAGTCAATCATTAATGCCAATAATCATAGCATAGGACATAGGATATCAAGAACATTAATTACCTAGTGGATATAAAAATCCAGAGATAAGACAGGTATACGGTTTTACTGGCAACAGGAAGTCTTTTCACGTCTTCTGTTTTATTTAGATTTGCAGAAATTATTTCACTGAGATTTAATATAATTATTAAAGAAAAACTAAGGTCAAAAATGTACTCTATTTTTTCATCAATTGCATAAGTAATGCATTAAAAATTATGCAAAAATATGAAATAAAAACAAAAAAGATACTCTCCGTCATAAATCTGAAAGCTTCTCTGAAGAGCCTTTCTACAGCCGCAGGCTGACCCCTGCCTATCGCTGCCGAATTTCATGAATTCTGTATAATAGTGGTTTATGTGATAAGGTTATTCCCCACAGTAACGGTCATCACATAGTGAAGCTTTGTTACAGATGCCAAATAAATATTCTAAGAGGCTTGAAATAGCTTCAACAGGCTGCCCAAGGTCAAGTGTCTCCCAAATGTGCAACTGATCTAGAATTACTTGTTCCATGTGGGATGAAAGTGACTAGAGGTAGGTAGTTTCCTAACCAGTTCCTAATGCAATAAATTCAACACAGAAAGTATAGTGATTACCTCCAATAATTCCACACTCCAGTTAACCCTGAAAGCACCATAAAAATTATTTCATGTTTGTTTGTGGTGTCTTCATTTTAAAAGTGTATTACAATTTACACCTACTATCCACACTATTCTTTTGATATTTTAATGCAATAAATGATTAAAACAATATACAGAAAGTCCCTACTTTTTGCCAACCCCTCTAATCAAAGACCAAGTAAAATGCATTCAAAGTGTTCATCATTAGTGCCACTTGTTCTGGGTCAATTGTACATTGGAAGACAGTTAACCTTGGGAAGCCAATTGAAGCTATTT